CAATGATACGCATTTAAGGAATAGAAGCTTGCTAAAGACTCATTGTCCTTGGAAAACTTGACAAGAACTCACAGCTGGAATTTGTCTCCAAAAGCTCTAAGAGTTCCTATAGCAAGAAGATATTATAACATATTTTTAGATGCTATAACTCCACACACCCTAATTAATTTAATGAGTACTCCATCTGCACCAATTTTCTCTTCCGGCAAACTCTCAAATAGAACAGACTGGAAACTACAATAAAACTCTCAGGAGATGAGAAAACGCTCTCAAAATATTTATGTGACGTACTGAATCAGTTCTCGACATTTCAGCACGTATACCATACGCAGATCAGGTTTATTGGACCGATAATTGCATTAAATAAAATAATGCGATTCAGTGGGAAATAATTGGACTAATATTGAGCAACTGCGCAAGTTTCATTAGGATCGATTAGAAAACACGAGCATAACAAATACAAACGTATTAAGTGAAAAGATTAGAGTCCAACCAAAGTTAAAACCAAATCTTATTTTTCAGCTTACCGATAAGCAAAACGTGAGATAGTTTTCAGCGCATTTTGGGGGCAGAGTGCCTCGGGGCGGCTAAATTGAACGAGACCAGCCAATTTAAAGGAGATTGCAAGAAACCCACATTTTAGATTTTATGACGCACTTAAAAAAAAAACACCCAATAACTTCGTGTACCCTCAGTATGAACGTGATTTTGCTCAAGGATCTTCTGTAGTGCCTTTTTATTATTCTATTTTATTTCCCAGCACTTCTGTCAATTACATAATTACTCCAATGATGACTCAAAAATTATACTGCTAAATAATCAGTTTCTATATGCACAGCAATTAGCACTATGACTAAAAATTGGAACAGTAATCTACCAAAATTCTTATCAAAAAAAAAAAAACTGAATAATAAACTTAATAGCCTAGAAAATAATAATAATAAAAAAACGAATTAAAAACAAAAGCAAAACAATGTGAAGTGTTAAGACAAATTTGATGCTCGTGTCGCCTAGTCAGATCGATAAGAAAAATTATTAAAAAAGCAAATTGGCAACAACAAATCAAGCGCTGATTGGTCAAATCTAATCGAGCGATGCGACCAATCCCTGATCCGACATGATAAGGCTGCAAAAAAATATAAACAAAGATAACCCACTCCCCATTCGAGTCGGGTTTTTCATCTGTTTTTTTTTTTTTTTTTTGGTTTTTTGTTGTCTGAGGCATGAACGCAATGATGTTCCACCTGGCTCGTGCCAGTCGCTCTTATCAGCAGCAGCACAAGTTCATGCCCAGCCGATAAGAAGTGCGTGCCCAGCTGCATGTTTTGCGATCTCCTCCTCGCACCGATCAGTCTCTTCAGAGGCAACGATATCTCACTTACTGATAACTGGGCCAAGTTTCAAAAGAAAAGGTTGTTAGATAAAATGTAGTTTCTGTTATGCCATTCAACTGCGCAACATTACATTTCGAACGAACATCATGCGTGTCGTGGACGTGATAATCTGAACTTTACTGGAATGAAAGCATGCAGGCCTCATGGAATGACTTGTCATTTCTGGGAATGATAAGATCGATGTGGTCGAGTGAGTCAGCTATAAGATATATATTCTGAAGACAGACGCTGAAGAGTAAAATGAAAGGAAGATGGCAACCAAGATCAGATACTTCTTTCAATCTATCAAAATTGGTAAAACACTTTGTTGATGCTGAAATATGAGATAAATTAAAATTAATTTTTGATTAATTCAGAGAATTTAATAGGCAATTTAAACACACTTGAATTACTTGTAATATTTTTCATTTTATTCTCAATCATCGTTATTTTTTCAATTCTCATCTTATTTTGTTTTGTTTTTTTTTTGTTTTCCTTTTTATACATATGTATGTATGTATATATAATATTTGTAGTACTCCACCTGTTTCTGCGTTATTGTATTAATATAAAGTTGGTTTCATTGTAATTTAGGTATTACCATTTTCATGTTATTTTTGTGTTTATAAGTAGAGTAATGAGCAAGTTTTATTTTAATTATAATTCATTATTTAAGTATGCATTTTAATCTTAATAGTTAGTTTTTTGCCAATTCTTTTTTTGTGTGTTGTGTTTTTGATTCCTTTTTTTTTCTTTTTTCTTTTTAATTTTATATTTTTTTTTAAGTATTAGGTGACATTTTTTGTAGACTGATCATACAAAATAACAAAAGTTTTGTATATTCCTGTGGTCAAATGTATGCAATGTGTGTGTGAGTGATATCTATGTATGTATATGATTTGTGTGTGTGTGTGTGTTGGTGTGTTGTGTGTGTAAGTGTGTCTGTTTGTTGGTGGTCATTAATATTACAGATTTTCTTTTTGTATGAAGTAAATTAAAAGTCATTTTCACTTTATTAATTCGAAGCTTCTCAAATAATTTGGATAGTTAATTGTGTCCTTTCCAATATGTGTTTGTTTGTTTGTTTGTTTGTTGGTATGGTATATATATATATATATATTTTTTATGGATTTATCTATGCATTAAACGTTAATATTTCCTTCTATTAATGACAAATTTAATGAAACAACAATTTCTCTCACATATTAAAAGTTGTTTTTAATGCGTTTTACAACAATAACAAAATTTATGCTTTTATTTTTATATGCGCACTATATTAATTTTCGACTGATTTTCATTTTAGATAACTTTCTGGATTTATTCAATTTTGCATTATGTATCCTAATTATTCGTTTATATGTATGTATGTATGCGTAGTTGCCATTCCATTCCATTAATTAGTTCTTGACAAGTTTGCGATCAAAAGAATGTCAATATAAATAGTTTTGAAATTATAAATGCACTGGAAAATCGAATTGTGTGGATAAAAAATCTTGTCTGTGTTGATTTTGTTTTCATATGGATACGTTCTGTCTGAGGTGTGTTTGAAAAACGGCTTGTTATATGTACGATATAAGTATATTTTTTATAAATGTTTTCGTATAGAAAGTTGCTTGTATATAAGGTTCATAGAGAGCAAAAGTTGGTTTTTATAGCATTACGTGTCATATTCTTTTAAGTATTCTATTATGTTTTTGGGTTTTCTTTTCGTATTTTTCTTTTGTTTTTTTTTTTTAGCAAAAAGCACGATTTTCAAAAAGCAAAAATCGCATTGTCAAAAATTTGATTTAATTCGTAAGTTAATTTTGATAGATGTTATCATATTCGTTTTTGTCCGTGTTTCCATCCACTTAGACCAATAATGTGTGTATTCGCATTATTTAATACCTTTCTTCTTTGTTTTTTGTTGTCAATATAGTCAATATATGCATATGCCTTTAGAAAATTATGGACTACACATACAAACATTTAAATTTGTTTTCTCATTTATAAAAATAAACAAACATAGAAAATTTTTTGCTGAACAACTTATGTATTTTGCTAAAACTTTAAGATTTTATTTATTTTTTGTTTTTAATCTTTTATTTCGTTTTGATATGGAATTTTACAAACATTAGTACAAATACATAAATGTAGGTACTTTATAAGTATTATATTAATTTATTTAGTTGTTATGTGAAGGAATTAAATGCAGTGTTACATTTCAATTTGCAGGGAGGGACAGAGAGAGAGAGAGAGAGAGAGAGAGAGAGAGAGAGATAGAGGAAGATGAAGAGAGTTATCTGAAGTATGTTAATAATGGTGTTCCCCCCCCCCTCGTTAAGGGGATATATGTATCATGTATGCATGTTACGCGCGATTTGGCCTACCAGGTATACTCGTACATTAACTAGGTAAGAATTATATATATATATATATCTATCTCAAAACGCACGCTCGCCGCTCTCCTCTACAAACATCAGTCAATGATCCCACTCTCACACACACACACTCACACGCACATACACGCATACACACACTCATACACACACACACACACACATACACACAAGCACTCACTGTCGAATGTGTGGAACTAAGCTGCATTGAATTTATGTATTCAGACATTACACATACGCATTGTTGTTAAGTGTTACGACTTACAATTGCTAGTATATATTAATATTACAATTATATATATATATATATTTATATTATATATATATATTCGGCTAATATTTTGACTAATGCTTTTTGCATGCGCTTTCTTTTGATGCTGTTTCCATTGTTTTGGTTTCTGCTTTAACTTCGTTCGTATTGGTTTTGTCTGCACATTGCCAAAAGCCCCGACTCCACCATGCCTAACTATATATATTATGTACTATGCATTTAAGTCTATTGGCTTAAGAACTTTTCAAATGAGTTTTGTATTTTTTTTTTTACTTTTAAGTATTAAGTATTTTCTTTTCGTGTTTTTTTTTTTTTGCTATTTCTTGTCAGCTTTTAGCTGCCAGCAAAATGAGCCAAACATTTAAATTCTTTATGCATGGTTAATTATGTTCTTTAAGTTAAATATTAAGTATATTTAGTTAGTTAATTAGTAGTTATTAAGTTATCGATTTTGTTTTTGTTTTTTCTTTAAGTATTTGTAATGGAAGACATTTTTTATACAAGTTTAAGACACAGAAAATATTTTTTCTTTATATTATAGAGGTGTGTGTGTGTGTGTGTGAGTGTGTGTGATGGTATGTAAGTATGTGTTTGTGTGAGATAGTATGCAAGTGTGTGTGTTTAAAAAGTTGTATAAATATTATTGCCAAATTAACGATATGTGAACTTCTATAATTGAAAAATTAAATGCTACGCACATTTCGAATATGTTGCCATGTATATATATATATATATATGTTTTTTTTTGCAAATTAAATATAAATAAATAGTTAAATATTTATGTTAATTGATTTTTAATTGTTTTTATGGCTCTGGGGATTTATATATACATACATGTATTTTATGTATACATACATTTTTTATGCTTGTCAAAATGATGTTGTATAAAAATGTATATAAAATAAATGTCATTTCTTCTGCAAAACTAATTCCTATTCACATACATATATCGACTTTTTTGTTGTTGCTATATATGTACGTATTTATTTGTTCATGTGTTTTTTTTTATTTTATTGTATTTGTTTTGCTTATTGCTGTTCAAAATTGGCTGCCATGCATGTCGTCGATATGAACTGATTTCTGTTGTTTTTCTTTCATTAAATTATTTGTTTAATATGTGTTTTTGTTTTTGTTTTTCGTTTATACATTGCTGTTGGTATTTCAAGTCTTCTGTTTGTTCAGTGAATTTGTCATATAACTTTTGTGGTTTTAAGGTGTACTTTAATTTTATTATATTTGGTTTTTGTCGTAAAATATAATACTCGATATTTGTGCGTACGCAGTTAGTGAAATCATTAATTTTGCTTACATTTTCTTTTCATATGTTTTTGTTTTGAATTATTGAATTAAGTATTTCGGTAGGAATTTTGTTCTGTTAAATACTTTCGCTTGCTATTTACATAAACTGACTAGTATATATTTGATTTTCTTTTAATTCATTGTGAAATAATTAGTGTGCTTTTCGCTTAAATCAATTGCATGCCCTAATCGTAATTTTATAAATTAATAGTTGGAAAATGGAAATAAGTTTCTGTACTACAAATATTTGATTTAAATTGTGTTCCTCTCACAATTACACGTAACTAATATTTAGCTAATATTTACTTTCGTCTAATTGTCAATGGAAATATATAGATTTTTGTTGTTGTTTTTGTTTTTGTTGTTGTTGCAAATTATTGTCTACAAACATATAGATATTACCGTATTACGCGTGAACTTCTGTTTGGCTATGCAATTCAACTGCCCAAAGAAATCAAGAAACGGAAATTGTCTGCAAATTCGCCAGCTCGTTTCTCAATATCGTAAAGCCTTAACTTATCGTATTCGTTCTCGTTCTCGTTCTCGTTTTCCATCTGCTCCTGCTGCTCCTGTTGCTCCTGATGCTCCTGCTGCTTATCATGTCCTTTATTGTATTTAGTGCTCGTATCACGCATTGGCCAGCACGAAGGTGACGCTGACCATCAGCAGGTGCGCAGCTATAAGGGAGGCGGACATGTGCAGTAGCGTGCTGCCACGCCCACACTGCTGTATCTCAATCTCCTCGGGGTGGTAGTTAATACATTTCTTTGGTCGGCGACGCGACTGCTGCTCCTGACTCTGACGACGCGTGCTGCAGGCACCTGTTTGTTTTATATTGTAAATCCATCAAATACTAGCACGGATTTAATGATGAATCTCCATTTGTTTTACTCACCGACAATGCCCGACTCCTCCATGGGCTCAATGTCCAGCTGCTTGGAGCCGCAAGGACACAGCGTGTCCACCACAAGCAGAATCAGATTACTGTGTGGAATCTTCTGCACACTAAACGGCCGCTCACAGCCCGACACATGACAATTGGTTAGTTTACCCTGTAAGCAGAAAACATATATATATCATATATATATATACTTGAAATAGGCATTATTCGTATTATTCCTGCACAAGCTATACGATGAAGTAGTCTAATGTGTAGTTTATATAACTAGTTTTATTTGTTTCAAATATCTTGAAAGGCACTCATCTTTCGATCGTTGGTTTCTTTTGTAGCTTTATGATATAGTAATTCCCGGATTTATTCCCAGTTTCGCTAAGATACCCCAAAAACTGAGTGATTGGCTTTCATTAAAATAGACAGACTGACATATGCAGCTATATAGCTATATATACTATTCAAGATCAATTGGTATCCTATTTTTAATAAGCTAAATTAGACATTTATTCCATGTAAAAATATTAAATTCTATATTTGAAGTATTAATTAAAAATAAGAAAGACATATTTAGAACCACACAAAAGGATTAAAGTCAATTAATAAGGAATAACGCATATTTTTCAAATGATTATAAAATTTCTCAATGATCTATGGGACTCACCTTTAGTGGGTTATTTTGACCGCCTTGATTAAGGCGTTCCGGTTGCAACATATAAAGATCGGTGCGCAGATCACAGCGTCGCGCATTCTGCGGATCGGCCATGAATCTGGGTCCACTGTGGGGTTTATGCTGTTTAGGTGGTGGCGTCGTATAGTCCTAAGAGGAAAACCGATTTCGGATTAGAATAGCTATAGATAACATATGCATAACAACAGAATAGTGTTTGGCACGCACCGCATCGGCTGTGGTAAAGAATTCATCCATTTCCTGATCCACCTGCAGATGATACTCATTATCAAAGTTCTCCTCATACTCGTCCGCGTAGTTGTTCTCCACAAAGACAACATCCTCATTGTCATATGTCTCATAGTCGTCCTGTGGCCAAGCGCGCAGTGAGGTGGGCATCAGCGATAACCAACTGGCGCTGAGGGCCACCAAATGCTTGTAGAACCAGCTGCCAAGGCGATGTGGCTTTAGAATGCCACCAGCTGCCGTGTAGGGGTTATCGGAATCGGAGCAGACGCCCTGATAGTCATTCACCGTGACGCGCTTGTAAATGCGATCCTGGACCAGAGAGTCCATAATGGTTCCATCGATTTGGCCAAAAAACTTGCCCGTATGCTCCATTTCCTCCGAGATGATCACAAACCCACTGTTGTCCAGCACATAGCAGTCGAGATTATCCGAGGCGCAGGTTCGCTTACAGCCCGTCATCCCAGTGCACTGAACAAAGAAGAGAACTTAAGACAAATGCATCCCAAGAATAGCCTAAAGATCACTCACTGCCGATGTGATGTTGATAAAGTGCTTGGCCAGCGAGTCGTGTTGAAATTGCAGACCCACAACTCCAGCTGGGGCCTTGTGTCCGCGATGCTCCACAAAGATCGCATGCGAGGCTGTCACCAAAGTGGCGTTCGATTTGATGGCATATCCGGAACCGAAGGGCACACTATACACAAAGCTATCCGGCTCCACTGTGTGCTGATCCACGGCACGCTTGTACCACGAGGAGTCCATGGCGCGCACATTGTCCTCGCTGAAGTGCCTGTGAAAAGAAAACGATTTATATCGATTAAAAAGACAAGTTATCGATAAAATGAAACACACTTAATCTGCTTTTGCTATACAGTTTAAGTATATTTATTATTAATATTTATGCGCAAATTCAACTCCATTTCCAGGATGTAATAAAAGGACTCTCAGTCAATTATTTTTGCAATTTATTTTTTACCATACAGAACTTTATTATCCATATCTTTACTATTCGTATTGGGGTCAAGTATGTATACTCTGATTCTTTAGGCGTTGATCCTCCAAGCTTTATGTATTTGGTGCTCGCAGTATTACTAATTGCAAGGATCAAATTGAACCAGCTCAGAAGCAGTATTTACTATTTGACTTAAGTATTCTCAACTGGCATCTCAATATACGTTTTTCATCGAACTCAAGAATGCTACCATGCATATAAATATCGATTTTCTGTCGTTAATTATATTTAATTAAAATACATTCTCTGTGTGGAAGCAGAAAGTAACTTATCAGCTAAAAGCTGATACCCTCCGCTCCTCTCCCAGTTTGATGGCGACCTTATGGTGATAGTACCTTCAAGGTATACATTTTATTGCATTTCTATAAATAAATGCAATATTTTTATCACAATGATCGCGACGCTTTAACATTTTTATAAAATATTCTTTTCCATTTTTATAACAATTTGCTCTTTACGAATAACATATACAAAGTGATGAAATAAGTTTGGCCTGTCTGACTAATTGCCAAAACTATGATAAACTCCACAAGAAAATAGTAGGAAATAATTGATTCTCTCTCAGAAATATGCTCAAATTTTACAATCAGTCTTATGTCATCAACTTTCAACTTACGGTTCCGGGGTATCCTCAGGTCTCTTAATATGATCAATCCAGCGTAATAAGCCCGAACGCGTAGCCACAAATGAGGTAGCCACAACAAACTTTTGATAGCCTTGCCTGTGGAAGGGGATTAACAATAGATATCAGCAAGGAGACATAGCAATGTGATCAGCAAGAGATATGGATTAAGCTATTCCAAGCTTTTATCAACTGCCCACAGCAAATCTACAGAGCATTTCAATAAATGCTTAATGGTCATTTTTGGGAACTGGTTCCGAGCGGCTTGAAGTGTGCTGGTTCCTCAAAGCATTTGTAAAAACATTAACTACGTGACCATTAAAATACTTTTCATTTACCTCTTCAAAATGGCCATCAATGTGGCGATTGGACTAAATGTTTATAAAGGTGCATTAAAATAATGTTCAATTTGCATACAAATCAAATTTTGTAATTATTTATTGGTTGTGGAGAGAATGTTTGTTTAATATAATTTATTATATAAAGAAAGTTGGTGGATGCAAAGAAAAGTGTTTGCATTTTTGGAAAATAGAGTGAAGGAAATATATGCAAGAGAAAATTTTTGGTGCTTTAGTGCTTGAAAAAAAATGCTTAAACAAAAATGGTTTAAGTATTAATGAAATCATTTAAGCGTTGTCAAAATAGAATAGAAAGTACAACTAAAAAGAAATTTTGTAACTAAAAATAATTAAATGAAAAACTTGAAATATTGTTTTAAATCATGCTTTAAAGTGCCACAGTCGACAGAGCTCGACTAGAAGAGATCCTGAACCTATTCAACATAGAATCAATGTAATATATATTTTTGACAGCTTCTGTGTTTCTCATTACTTATGATTCTCATTGATTAAATAAATAACAAAAACATTTAGCAGGTAAGCGCGAGTTTTATTTGGTAGGTTGTCAGTAGTTCACCTTTTTAAATTTAAGGACAATTTTTTAATTTTAATTAGGTCAAAGGTCGAAAGCACTCAACAACAATACTTGCAACAATATTTGCCTCAGTCAATCTAAGTAACTAATCGGTATGAGCGTCGATATAAAACCACACTTCAAACTCATTTTGAAATGCAAATGAATAAATTTAGAAATTTAATAAAAAATTCGACGAAGTTTGGTAAATAACTCGAAGATGAAGTACTCCAATCATTTTAAACTAAGTTTAAACTGAGTTCGCTCATATCATAGAAAATTGATTGAAGTTTTTTTTTCAAAACAATAACAATTTGAAATTATATTATTATTATAATACTTTCTAAAACATAAATATGACAAACAGAATTAATAATTATATATCTTAAATAAATAAATAAATTGTAATATGTTCAATGGAGTCCGGTCTTAACGAAATGAATTAATTTCAATTAACAAAACGAAATTTTAAGGAAGAAAATGCACTGAAAAATTGTATAATCAAAATGAAAAACAAAAGCAAAACTTACTGCTTATCCTCCTTGCCATTGGAGGTACTCGTGGTATTGCGGTCAAGTCCATCGGTGACCATTGCATCGCGTACCAAGCTCTGAATGAGGGTTCGATCGCAATAATAGGGCTCTGCCTTGCGAGAACCCTGCACATTCAGATGCTGTGCCCCAAAATGGGAGGCACTTGACGTGGTGCCGTGCAGGTTGTGGTGTGGTTGCGGCGACTTGGGTCGCACCTAAGCAGTGAGATAGATAAAAAAAATGAGATTGTAAGCAAATGCAGTCAAGTTTATAAATACTTTCAGTTGGATTGCTTACCGACATCCACTTCCAGCCTGGACGTCCGGCGCGAGCCAGAAAGTGCAGTACCTGCTCCTCTGGCGACCCAAAGCTGGGCTCTTGATCGCGAGACGTATATTCACCGGAGCTCTCACGCTCCTTCTCCAAATCGCTGACGCTATTGTACTCACAGTAGACCCAATCGGGATGTACGCGCCAGTTGTCCCCCTTAAAGTACTCGGTAACTATAAAAATCAAGGATTGCTTGTCATTAATATTTAACGCTTTGAATAAGATCCACGAACCGTTCAAACTTATACGAATAATTAATAATTATAAAGGGTATATTGCAGCTGTGCAATTATGTGTATATATTGAGGTTTTAAATTTAGATGCCTATCTTTAAAGAAGGCTTCCAGAAATCAACCAACCAACCAACATTTGGTGATTCAATTTTATCACAGTTTTTTTTAGTTGATTAATTATATTTATCTTATCTTATCTTATATTCATTTATATAAAGTTTCCAGTTCTTAAAGGTCGATGACATTGGCATGCTCATTCAGATAGACACACAGAGTGAAATAGCTAGATATATCGACTTTGTTGATATTGATAAAAAAAATATACATTTACTTTATGGGATCGCAGAGGCTCCCACGCTATTTCACAACTTTTTAATGTACTTTGTTTTCAAGAATCGGATTAACTCTTTCTAAGTGGAAGGTGCACAAATCATTTCGAAAACTCAGAGACTGTTCCATCCGAAATTAAATCGAAAATGTATATTATCTATCTATAAGACAAATGTTTGCCTAAATCTGCATAACATATTGATACTCCTTTTAATCAATTTGCCATGAGTACAGAGAACCAACAAATTAATGTATTTCTTTGTTGACTCACCATTGTTACGCGAGTGCCTTATTTCCTGCTGGGAGACCAACTCATGGCTGCCGTACTTCTCTGGCAGCACAATAGCCAGCGTGAAGGGCGTGTCCTCGATGGGGCCATAGAAGTATCGATGTGTACGGGTCGAGACACGCTTCGACTCGTCGTAATGATTAAGCACGGTGAACTCTGTCTCACCCTCCTTGGGGCGAATCATGTCACCGCGCATCTGTCGAGCAAACAGGTATAATTATTAAGTAGTGATAAGCAGGGCTAGGAGAAGGCAGAGCATACCTCATTGAGTAGATTCTTGTTCATTTCGACTAGTTCGTGATCGTTGCCCACTTCCGTTTCCGGCAGTTCCAACTCCGTAATGTCCACTGAGGCGTATTTGGGTCGCAGCTGATCGATGTACTGATTGCCATCGCTTAGCGGCCGCAGATCCGGATGGTAGAGCACCCGCCCATTGTTATCGACGATAAACGAATACCCATTCGGTCCCAGCTTGTGCTGCGGTATCATTTTGCGTATCTCCTCGATGGGTACATCGGTGCCAACGACACCCAACAAATTGGCCACGCGCACCGAATGGTTTCGTCTATCGAAGACCGGAGTTGAAACTGTCGTCACCAAACGTCGCTGGTATTCCGAATCCCTACCCAATCCGCCTGATTTCCCACCAACAAAAACGGGACTCCAATGAACCGGATGATCCGCCTGATACATAATCATGGGTCGCGCCATCACAAGCGCATAGTCAATGACCTTCCGTCGCGCCTCCTCATAATTGTTGATCTGCACAAAGAAGCCCTTGTTGGAGCAGGCCATTTCATGCAGATTGCTGCGACTCCCCGAATCGCTTCCAATCAGATACGTAAAGATGCGGACGGGCATATGCGGCCAGTTGTACTGCTTGATAATCTCCTTGTGCGACTCCGAGGTGCTCTCCGTTATCAGCATTATTGCCTGATTGCACTGGCTGCCCGCTCCACTCTGATTGTACTGCAGAAAGGTCAAAGATAAGAAATCGATTCCAGTTATACGACAAGTATAAAAAATAAAACATCTATTAAAACGGGCACATATCAAATTTAGCATTAATATTCACTCATCTCATGCATAAACATAATCATAAACCGATAAACAATATGGTCTTACTGGAATCCAAGATGTACACTGCCTTCCATATTCTTGGATAGACATTTATTATGCTTATTATTAAATAATTTAACTAAGCTTTAGTATAGATTGAAGTAATTTTAAAAGAAAAAGTCTAGTAAGACACTTGTGAACAACCTTGTCTATTTTTAATCGGATTGAACTTAAATCGATAATTGCATAAAACCCTATAAAAATCATCGCATCCACATCCGCGGATTTTCCAGCCACTTACCTTGTGAAGTAAACTGAAGGCGTATTCCAGGCCTGCCGTAAAGTTCGCCGTATCCTGAAGTTTGATAGCTTTGACAGCCGACTTGATTTCCTGGACATTATCAGGAGTGGCACGCACCATACGATCCTTGAAGCACGGCACTGGCGTCTTGACCACATCCGAGAAGGTTATTAAATTGACATAGTCATCCTCGCCGAGAGTGTCCAGTATATTAAAAGCCGTGGATGTGGCCAGATCAAAGGACTTCTCTGACATGCTGGACGATGCATCCAGTAGAATCATCTAGACACAAGAGGAAAAAGATCATAAGTAAGTGCCAAACAGCAAACATATTTCAATTAAATCTCACAATATCCTTGGGGGAGGAGGCGGCCTGGACAAACCAGTTGTGAGTGCGAAAGTCATGGATTAGCTTGCTGCCCTTAGAGCCCTCGGGTGGCCAGGCAGTGCCGGGGAAGCGGCGTAGAAAGCCAGACGATGAGCCAAAGTACTGCCAGGACAATGCCGGATCTCGCTCCAAGTTGTTCTGGAAGAGTGGATCCAGGTGGGCGCTCCACTGCAATGCCGACTTCACGTCCGTCTCATCCAAATCGACGCCGTGCGGCACCAGAATCGAGCTTAGACTGAGATTCACCGGCAGACGCTCGAAGCGCCGCATGAATCGTATATCCATGTGGCGAGCTCCGTCCGCCAACTTGCCATCGGCATTGTACTCATTGATGCGTCTCGCATCGTAATGCTGCTGCTGCCCCAGTGCACCCCCCTCCGTGCTGCTCTGCCCCTCCAGTTCCGAGAGCGCCGCCTGCTCTGCTGAGTCCATCAAGCGCTGCAAACGAAAATATAAGAAAGGGTATTACAAAGGCATCAGTTTAAGTTTATATGTATAAATGTATGTATGTATGTATGTATGTATGTATGTATGTATGTATGTATGTATGTATGTATGTATGTATGCTATATGTGGTGCCTCCCACACTCATCAATCTGTTTAATCTGGCGCTGGTAAAGTTTCTCGTAGCTATTCTTTATGCAATTTATCAAGGGAGATGCCGTCTTAAATTGCACAAAGAGCTCTCAGTTCGATGAGCAGAGTTTGCTTTTGCTTTTGCTTTTGCTTTTGCACTAACCCCACTCAACTCATTGGAAACTCTCCAATATTGCATGTGTGCGTTGCTCTGTGTATTGAAAGCATTTCAAACTACGTGGAAAATTAGTGCGAAAAATTCCCAATTGCACAGTGGCTGCAAATAACATCAAATAACTCAAATCGAAGTTTGCAATTTATCAAAGAATATGCTTAAAACATTCCGTGTCGGAATGCGTCAAATGCCGAGCTCTGCTTTTGATAGTAATTGAATCTATTTTCAATTTATACTCCATATATATATAGAGTTCACTAATTAACTATATTTTTGGTGAATAAGATTTTAGATATATTTCTCGACATTTTTTATATTTTTTAAATGCAAATTCTGATTAATCTTTTCTTACTTATTGATCACTATAAATTTGGTATAATTTCTAAGATCCTTTAATGAAATTAAACTAAATCGAAGAACAATTATGTTAAAAAAAATATTTGTAATTTATAATTATTTAATATTCATAAAATATATAATATTAAGGTAAATATATTCAATTTCAATATTCCTTTAAATGTTATATATTTGACTATAACTCTTTTGGAGCTTTCTTATTCATTTTATATTTGTTTGCCCAGGTAAAAATAAAGTAAACGGAATTTACGCTGATAATAATTAGTTAATTCTTCTGCAGACCAAAGATTGAGCTCTCTGACAGTCCTTAAACATTTTCAAAACAGCTCGAGACCAGTGTTCGATGTCTGAAGTCAGTGGCGCTTTTGAAACTTGGCGCCCATAAAAATTTCACAAGTTAAACTTTGGCCTGTGTGCACTTTTATAAGAAACAAACAAAAACTTTAGCTGCATTGGAATTAGACGCACCGGAGGATGAGTTCCAGCCCGGAAGAGCTGAATGCAGGGATCATGAAAATAGAGGTTAGCAAATACCTGCAGTCATAGACATTGAGGCCACAAACACGAACTGATGTGAGTTTGGCTTAAGGCGAATAAAACAACATGGAGCGCTCTACTCGAGTTTGACCGACTAGAAGACACCTGGGAAATAGTCTAAGCATAAATAGACAAAATCTCATAAGACCAGTTGGGCTTTGTCAGTGCGGAAATTGATCCTTAACTTCTGTGGTTACTTTCCGAATAAACTGTACCACAAGGAACATATCAAAATTGGGGCCTGTATGTGATCTGTCTTTTGTCTACATGGCTACATTGACCTGGCTTTTGATGTTGATCAAGAATACATATACAGACACTACACATTAACACAAACTTATGCTTGTCTTGCTTATCCATTTGGGTTGTGCACTGGGTATAAAAGAAGAAAAAGACGACTGTCTTTTGATTGCGTGGATGCACCAAAAGACGCTGCAGATTCTAAAGACTAGGCAGAGGAGCACTGTTTCGCCAAATCTCCTATGTGTGGGCGCATTGAATTAGTTTAACTACTGCTGAGCACAATGGGTAAAAACCCAAAGGCACATTAGGTCTTCTGGGGTTCGCAACTCTGATGTTGATTTCAATGTAAATTTGTTGGCTTTTGAGCAAGCGAAGTGCCACAGGAATGTGTCAGCAAGGAGCTGCCATCTCGACTTTAAAAAGTCATGTTCAATTGGAATAAAGTTGAAACTTCAATTAAAAGAAGTCAAGGTAAGCAAGCTGCATAATAGCACAAGAAGGATATTTTCAATATGGTGGTCAGCAGGTGTTTCAATATTCCAACTTGACAGTGGATCTCAAAGGCATTATTTAATGCTGTTTATAATTCAAGAAATTGTTGCGTTATTGTCGATATATGTTGCAAGATGTAAGTTATCTGAGTTGAATATTCTTTTTTGCATTTGCATTGACATTTGAGTGTGTACAATGCTGGACGCTGTATACAACTGCAGGACATGTGTAATCGCAATTCGTCCGACATGTCTGAGAATACAAAAGAACATAAATGGACAAAAGTGATGCAGACAAAACATGGCCGTGTCTCATAACATATTTCTTCTTCTTTTTTCTTTTACAATATTATGCACTTATGACAACAGTTAGGCATTTTGCAAAGGTTGGTCCTGTTGCCAAGCAATGGTTGACCTTTTTTTGGGATGGGGCATGGGAAATGGGGAGACGTCGGTTAGCTGTGCACAATCCCTTGGCACACACACACACACACACACACACAATACCCATTTGACACCAGCTGGTTGTCTGTCGCCGGCGTCAGCATCTCTCGACATCTCTCGACATCTTAACATTCAAAAGCCAAAAGCAAATGCCAACGACAACGAGGAAGAACTGCATCAACGTCAGGCCACTGCCGGAATTGGCAAAATGCAGCTACTTGCACGCAATTCGCTTAACAAAGAGAGCGAGAGAGAGAGAGAGAGAGAGAGAGAGAGAGAGAGAGGGAAACAAAGACAGACAGAGGAAAGAACGTTGAAAAAGAAATCGGGACAAAAAGTTGAAAAGTTAACAAGAAAGCGTCCAAAAGAAAGGCGCAAAGTGCGTCGCCTGAGCAACAGCCTGAAAGTATGCAATGTCCATTTGGCTGAGCAGAATAACAGAATAGGAAAAAAATAATTGTCATTGACCATTTGCCAAGTCAACTGACAGCCGCAGACGACTCTCCTTATACACTTGCTGCAGAACTTATGAATTTATGGGCAACAACAAATATTAAGTATTATTATAGCCTTTTCATTTTAAAGTCACCCTGCGTAATGCTCATATATTAGATGAAAACGAGCATTCTTGCTTGACCTTTGGAAACTCTAACTCTGAAATACAACTGTACACATACGTTATTCCTACATAAGTGTTTTGCTCAAACAGTAAAAACTGTTGGAAAATAACTGTATTTGCCTATGTACACCGCAGCTTGTCTTGTATTCCCGTTTTGTAGTCTTAATCTGTTGTTGCCTGCGAGCAACGGTAATTGTAAGTTCCTTATGATCAAGACCTTCTTCGATGGTATGATTAAGCTACTTTCATGAAGTAAGAGTCAGTCGCTTTTGGTCGCTTGAATCGCGTAGTATATGTCGCATGAAGCGGACATATATTATGTATTAAATACAAAGCTCTGAATAAATATAAACCCCAAGTTATAATATTTACCTTGTAAATTTATATATCAAAAACTAGCAGGAAAAGTTCAATCTTATATTTTGAATTGGGAAAAAAACATTTAACCATAATTTTACATCTTACATGATTACAGTCCCTGGTTGAATATGCAGTCTAATTTTCATGTGTGTTTACTAAAGTTATATTTTAAAAGACAATTTGTTTTTGTATTGAAAAATATAAAATGTTCGTAAGCACAAATTTAAGATTGCTGGATTTCCTCTTTTCATTTCATAGCCATATATTTGCCGACTCAATGCACGTGCCAAATGCTGAGGCAATAACTTGTAGACGAAATTTATATTAACATTTTTTTCAAGACTGGAAGCGAAAAACTTGTTTGCCAGCAGTTCGCAATGGTTTTTTATTTTATTATTTTTAAGGTAGCAAAAACTGTTCTTTTTAGGTTTAAGCTTTGCTACAACAACCCTAACAGCCGCCCACAGTGCATCGGAAAGCAGCAACCGCAATTTTAGAGCTAAAGAGTAACAAACTCAGAAGGCAGTTTACTAGCAGTCGCCAACGAAGATTGCCAGCAAAATCTACCGAAAATCGCTTCCATTTAAAACTCGCACTTCCCGTATATCTCCTACAGCCAAAAGTAACCAAATTTTAACAATAGAGTAAATAGAGGTACGCCAACCCACTGAAGACCCAGGTTGTACTGCAATTTCTCACTTATTTTTCTTTCTAGTAGCAGTTCTTTACTATTTGCTGCTTTAAGGAACAAATAGAAGCCAACTTGTGAGACTCGATTGAAGTGTATTTCATTCCGACTGCACCTGGAGTTGCTGCTTCTGCGACATATTCACAGTTGATGTGGTTTACTTGAGGGTTATTAATACATATGACGAGTTACTGCAACTGCTGTCACAATGGACCCTTTGAATGCTTTAATGCACAGCTTGCAAAAGGTTATCTAAATATATTTCTTGTGTGTTTACCTTATGTCTGGAAAACTTACGCTGTCTTGTTTTTAAATTATACTTAAAAAAATATGTGTCGTCTGTAATTCATTTTTACTTATTAGTCTTTGAGAGCTTGTGAAGACAGTGAAATAACTGTCAAAAAACAACGTTATGCAATACTGAATTCTGCGAATTACATAAATTCACAATTGATTTGTCTTCTTTCTCAATTTGTTAAATTCTAAATTATCCTACATTTTATAGATATCTCGGACCTTCAGGCCAAAACTGAGATTCCAATCGTACTCGAGTAGATTTCTACATATTAACGTTCTTAAGTTGATTAATTCGAGTGCAGTTTAATAAATAATTTTTATATATTTCAAAATTTGTAGACATTCCAATTAATTAATACAATTTAGTATCTATAAATATTCAATATATATTCTTCTGTTGAATATTCAATATAAGAATAAATATGTACTTAAATAATAATTCCCAGATCGGTTGTCTTGTATTTTAAACATATTGGTCCTGTGTGTATACGAAACTTAAGAAAATGGTCAGTTCACACAATAAACATGCTGCAAACCAATTAAGTTTCGATATGTCAACAGTTTCTGGCTGATTGCAGAGTCAGTGAGCTGTGATGGCCACTTAAATGCCCATGCACATCCTCGACCCCAATCACATATACACACACACAC